ACAGAAAATATATCCTTTGGTAGCTCTCAAAGAAGAAATGCCTCTCCCTTCCAGAAGACTCATTAAGCATCTCCTCATATCATGTTGGTTCTGTAGCCAAGGGGATGGGATAAGGTGATTGACACAAGCCAAATAGAGCTCATTCAGGATGCTGCAGGTGAGCCAAACCATAATACAGCTGAGAGAGGACACCTTCCCAAAGAAGTTTTGGGTTTCTGTTCCCAGCAAGAAAGAGAATGAATGCTGGAAACCAAGTAAGAGATGATCATAACAGAGCCCTAACTGAAAGTCACAAAGGCAGATGCTTAGAATTGCAGGCATTAATTTGTGACTGATTGCTTCTAAAACAGGCAACTCTGTAGCTGACTCCAAGTTGCAACATAAACATTCATTCCCCTAAGAAATTCTGAGTAGGCTTTTCAATAAATGACCTAAACATTATTTTCATATTTCCTCACTTTCTAGTCTTATTTTTTAAAGTGTTGAAGACAAAATTTTAACACAATCTAGTCTTGATTTTAATATATTGTCAATTGTAACTTATCAGAAAATATATATTTTTTCATTTTCAAAATGCATCGCTTTATTTTCCTTACAAGCAGCCACACATTAAGCATGTGACAGTCACATGACCTTTTCAGTGAGCCCCAAGGCTTCCGTGAGCATGCCCAGAGAAGTCCTGAAGTTTCAAATATTAAAGCTCTCTCCACAGCCACAATTTCCTCTGATGTTTTGGTTATTGACCACAAACTCACTGGATAATTTGTCTTCTACATAGTCTATTTATGTTCATAAAAACATTAGCTGTGCTTTCTTTTTGATGAACTTGCTTACCCGTCTTGAACAACTTCATCATCAGAATCTCATTTTGTGTTCATATATTCTAGAGTGTAAGAAAAGCCATTACAGCCCCTGGTTCAGACACGGACTTTCACACCTACATGTTCCAGCTTATCTTTAAGATGTTGTTAGGCCAGGAGCTATAGCACATGCCTGTAATCCTAGGGCTTTGGGAGGCTGAGGCAAGAGGATCACCTGAGGCCAGGAGTTTGAGACCAGCCTGGGCAACATAGCAAGACCATCACCTCTACAAAAAAGTAAATACATAGCCAGTCGTGATGGTACATACCTGTAGTCCCAGCTGCTCAGAAGGCTGAAGCAAGAGGATCACTTGAGCCCAGGAGTTAGAGGTTGCATATCTTGTTTACTGCTGAAGGTAGGTGATATCTTCACTATCTCAGCACCCTGGTGCCGCAGGCCAGAGCTTGGACACCTCAGCTTCTCTCCATGGATACAGTGCATTTTAGAAAATACCTTAATTTCTATTATTTATTTTTCTTCAAAATTTAGTAAGTATTAATTTTATTCCTCTCCTGACTTTTAGATGTTTGGAAAACGTCATTACAAACTGAAAGGTCTCCATGTTACAATTCCTTCATCACAGACAATGGAATCTGTGATATGGGCTCAGGGCTTCCAAGTGCTTGTCTCTGAGTCCCTGGCAAGGAAAAAAACCAGTTAGGAATTCTCTTGGTAGGGGCTTTCCATTTCCACATACTATTTCCTAATCATGCTAGAAGACTTATCTTTCTCTGTATTTTGGTAATTCTTACTATACTACTTCTAAAAAGTCTTGCCACTCTACCACCCTACCTATAAACATTTCCATCTTCAAGTGAGTTTCAGGGTTAGTCAATTTCCATAGCTCATATTCCTATTCACTATGTCTCTCCCATTTAAAAATACTGACCTCATCCAGCATATACATCATCTTCAATCTGGGAGCTTATGAATCTATGATGGGTTTAACTATCACATCCCTGCAGCCCTGGTCTAAGAGTCAACCTTATGTCAACTGCTGCCTGCATAATATGTCCACTGGTAACGCTGCCAACTCCTCACTGGCTGTTCTTTCTTGGCATCCCTTGCTGGTGCCTCCTCCTGTACAGCTGCCTGAACACTGAATTGGTATTCCACGGGACTCCATCCTGGGTCCTCATTTCTTGCTATGCTTGCTCTGGGACAGCACTGTCCAGTAGAACTTTCTGGAATAAAGAAAATGTTCTACATCTCCACTATGCAATTAGGTGACTACATGCCACATATGGATATTGTGCACTTGAAATGTGGCCGGTGTGACTAAATAATTTTTAAATATGATTTTAATTTAATTAGCCATATATGTCTAGTGGCTACTGAATTGACAGTGTAACTTGAGGATTTAATTAATTTCTTCCCACTCTCTAGGGAATTTTATTCATTTCTTCCCATGGCTTTATATATCTTACTCACTTGATAATTCCAAAACATACAGCTCCAGTCATGTCTAACCCAGAGCACCAGCTCATAACATACAACTGCCAACCTGAAATACTCACTTGCACATTTCACAAATATTTCAAATGTGCTAAACCAAGAACAGAGTTCTAGATTTCCTCTCTCCCAACCCCATTCTCCTAGTCTTATCCATTCCAGTCAGTGGCACCACTACTCACTCAGCTGCTCAAACCAAAAATCAGAAAGTAACCCAATTCCTCCCTATGCATTACTCCTTGTAGCCAATCCATTGGCAAGTCACTAACTTTCTTTCCAAAATATATCTCAAATTCCCATTAAATTCACTCCCAGCCTCTCCTGGACTGCTACCGCAGTCTCCAACACGATCTCTTCTTTCACTCTTGTCTCTTTACAAACCATTTTCTACTTCACAGTCAAAGTGATCAGTTTTAAAGTTTAATTCAAACATGTCACTCCTCCATTGAATCCCTTTCAGTGGAGGGGTGACATGTTTTCATTTAAGAGAAAATGAATGATCTGGCCCACTTATCTCTCTAAACTCAACTTGTGCCATGCACATCCTTGATTATATTATAGCCAAATTCTTTTGGTCTCTTTATCATACCAAACTTGTCAAACATCAAGTCTGCACAGCAGTTTCCTCTGCCTGCTGTTCTTTCTATTCTAGATACAAGTGGCTCCTTCTGTCCTTCTAAGTCTTAGAGTTAATGCTGCTTCTTAGGGTAGACCTTCCCTGACCATCTATATAAAGTGAGACTCTCTCCATCATTTCCATTCTCAGTACCTTATTCATTTCTTTCACAGAACTTACCAGTTTTTAATTCATTTACTTATTTTGATTGGTCTTTACCACTAGGCTGTATGCTCCAGGAAGGCAGGGAGCAGGTCTGACTTACTGTTTACCCAAAACCTGGTACAGTGCTTTGCGTACAATTTGGTGCTTGATAACATCTGTTTAATAACAAACTTCTGCCAACATCTGCTCACATCAGCCATTTCCACTTCCTGGTTCCATGTGTGCAGGGTATACAACAAAATTCTTACTGTTTATTAGATGTTACCCTAACTGGCTGGGAATGTATAAAGTGGGATGCCTCTAAATAGCATGAAGCAAATTGCACTATCTGAAAAATATGCCTGTAAAGGTGAAGAGTCTAGAATAAATGTTTCAAATCTGTTTTGGCCAGCCTTCTTCTCTCCTGAATAGGGCCTCTGATCCTCTAAAGTTTTAAGATGGTTAGTACCACTCTTGAATATCCTGCCTGCTTTCATAGTATTAACAGCTTACATCCTCTTTTAAAATATTGTTTTATTGACTCCTAATTTCAAGTATAGTTAGTTACAATTTTGGAATTCTTTACTTTCACATGCATGGTCTACATGTTCCTAGTGTTCATTTTGCCTTTTTTCCTGGACCTACAGAGGGCATTTGTGACTCTGATGCCAAGATACTGGATTATGTGGGAAATTTCCAACTGCTGCCTGGATGGTGCTACCTAACAAAGCATTAACCATCACCAGAAAGTGACCATTTATCCCTTCCTTAGTGATGGCCCACAACTTATTTCAGGATGTGAACTTATCATGGTGAGAGTAGTGGACAGACTGGGAAAGGAGTTAGGATAGCAGTGCAATAAAAGGTGTTGTAGCTTTATACATTTTCATGAAAAAAAAATTCCAACTGAGTTTACATATTCCCAATCCCAGAATGCTGTCTCATTACACAAGGTCATTCAGGTCTTCCAAGATTACACTTCCCTAAGTTATCCTGGTGATCTTATAAGGACTGCAACTTCTGAGGAAAGGTCCTAGAGTTAGCAATGTAACCGCAATGTCACCTACATCAAATAAGGCTTTCAATGAGGTAGACTTATGAGAAGCAGTACTAATAAATATTTGTATATTAAGAATATCTCCAGAAAGATACACAATCAGTGACAGTGATAGCCTCTGGGAGACAGCAATGACAGGACATTTACTTTTCATTGAACATTTCAATTTTTTATCATAATCATATTATACCTAATCAAAAAGTAAATGTTTCAAAATTTGAAAAAGAAAAGAAATGCAGTGTTAGTCCTCAAAGAGCCATTTAACTGGAGTCAAGACTAAAAGACATAAGACTATTACATATATAGATAGATAGCACAAAAATAATAATTTGAGTAGTATTGAAAACAAGTAAAAGAAAGAGATCTTCTTAGTTGAAAGAGCTGAGTTTTAGATGATGAAGGGAAACTAAAAGCCCAGAAAACAAAATGTAAGCAGATAAAAATGAATAGAGGCATAAATATGTACAAGTAAATAAAGAATAGTAAACTCTGGAGTCAGGACTGGCACCAATTTCAACGCTATAACTTACTAACTGAGCAACCTTAAATGAGTTTTATAACCTCTTTCAACCTCAAATTTCTCATTTATAAAATGGAGAGAAGAGTACCTACCTTAATAGGTTATGAAAATTAAAGAATGTATATAAAGTGATTAGCACCTGATACAGAGTAGGTGCTCAACTAAATGGTGCCTAGTACAAATACGGTGGAACAGGGGGACCAATCTTGCTAGAATATATGGTATCTGCTCAGGAGAAGGGGCAGGATAATCTTGCTTATTAGAGTTATAGCAAATTGAAGAAGGTAATCTCATTTTGTCTCTGGGGTCCCTGTAGCATAAGAATTATAAACAGGTATTACTAGTATACTCTACTGATCAAAAAAATGAGAGGTCTGATAGTTACAGGGTTGCTCCCTAGCATGACGCCTCTGGTGCTTAATTAAGACAGAATTCTGACTGAAGGCCTTTCCACAATCATTACACTTATAGGGTCTTTCCCCAGTATGGATTCTTTGATGTCGGATAAGGTGGGCCTTGCAAATGAAGCTTTTCCCACAGTCAGTACATTCATGAGGCTTCTCCCCAGTGTGAACCCTCTGGTGCTGAGCAAGATCTGAGTTCCACATAAAGCCTTTCCCACAGTCCTTACATTCATAAGGCTTCTCCCCAGTGTGTATTCTCTGATGTCGAAGAAGAGTAGGGTTTCGAGTAAAGCTTTTCCCACATTCTTTACATGTGTATGGTTTCTCCCCAGTGTGAATTCGTTGATGTTGTATAAGACTTGTGTTTTGACTAAAGCCCTTCCCACATTCTTTACATTCAAAGGGTTTCTCTCCAGTATGTATTTTCTGGTGACGAATCAGGTTTGACTTCCAAACAAAGGCTTTAGCACATTCTTTACATTCATAAGGTTTTACCCCACTATGAATTCTCTGATGTGCAATGCAATGTGATCTAAAACTGAAAGCCTTCCCACATTCCTTACATCCATAGACCTTCTCTCCATTATGAGTTTTCTGGTGTTGATCAAAGTTTTCATTTTGATCAAAACACCTGCCACATTCTTCACATATATAGAATATCCGCTCATTTAAAATTTTCTGATGTATACGAAGGTGGTTATTGACATCAGTATTCTCTGAACTCTCTTCTACTGAGATCATCTCATCCTTAACAATCACTTCTATAATATCATTTGTAGTATTCTCCATACTTTCCCCAGTAAGGTAGCCAGGCCATCTCCCTAACCTACTTTTCTCATCACAGTTTTTTCCAAACCAGAATTTCTGTGAGCTACACCACTGAGGTCCACTTGATAGCACCATGAGGTCCTGTGCTTCCTTTAAAATGTCCTCCTTCAAAATAAAATCTTCTTTCTCCCTCTTCAACACACCATCTGAAAGGAGAAATCAGAGTTTCAAATGTCATCAGTACCCATGACAGAGCAACTAAGGTCAATGAGTGGTATTAGTATGTCCATTTCTCTCCAAATACTACTCCTGTGTCTCAGTGGCCCTGTTCTAGCTGAAAATGGCAAAAACAGGACTCACACCCAGAAACAAATGAAAAGCAAATGGCAGAAACTAGATGGAATCCCTGAGGGCTGTGATTCCCAGCACCAGACCAAGCACTTGGTAGGCTCTCAGAAAACAGATGAATCAAATTTAAGAGAAACAAGTCAGAATTCTTTCTCAGTGGCTGACTCCAGTTTATAAAATGAGCATAGGCCAGGACTCAAGGCAGAGGACCCGTATAGAAATAAGGACTCCTTTGTTGTATACCTGGGATCCTGAGCTTGTCACACACAGGGGGCAACAGCGAGGACCGTCCTCATATTTTTCAGCACTAAAAGGAAGTATAGTCTTCTTACTCAATCCAATCACTAGGTTCACCATGAAAAATGCTTCCCCAAACTACTTCAGGCAGAGTTGGGCAAAGACACCTTCCTCTTTGTTCCCATAGTGTTGCATTCATACATCTGTTACAGCATCATCACTTTTCTATAATTACACATTTATGCAAAATGTCCCATTAGACTGTGAGACCTTCCAGAATACATGCCATATATGACTTGATTTTTTTTCTATCCCTAGCAACTAACACAATGAGTAAAATATGGCATCTACATTAAAAATATTGATTGACCATAGCAACCAGATAGGTAGGCCATCTGTGCAATCTAAGCATAAGACCCAAGGCCCATCCTAATTTAATTAATTGAGCTTGTCCTAATAAAAGCTGGAAGCACAAGGTTTGATTTTCTCTTGACTAACTGGTTGATCTGGGGATCTGGGAGGGTCATTGATTGAGAATAAGAATGGCAGATAAATTTTTAACATTTTACAAAGGAAAGATAGAAAAAGGTGTGACTGGGAGAAGGATGCTCATTTCTTTCTCACTTACCAGTACAAATTAGGCTTGGACCCTTCCCTTGCAGTTTCAGGTTCAATGACTCTTCCACCTGTTCAAGATGGGAGACCCCCGCAGGCTTTAGAAATGGATATCCTGCCGGGTTCAAGATACAAATAAGGCTGGCTCAGTTGGAGGAGCAGAGCCCATTAGGAAGGGGGCAGAGATGGAAGTGGTAGGGGGAAAATGAAGGTGAGTGAAAAGGTTGGTAACATAGATAACCAGAAACTTAAGGAGGATAAGAATATAAAGGATAGAAAATATTGGTACAAGGTAGTTGAAATTTCATCGATTCCCAAAGATATGCAAACACATCACTCATTTTTAACTGTCAAGAAGAAACTGGAAAGACTAAGGTTTCTTTTGCACCTATCCCTAGGAGGTGAAAGCAAGTTCACATAGAAAAGACTCAGGAAAGGATGAAATTGCAAAGAGCTAATCTTGAGGACTTCCTGTGCAAGCAGGCTATTCTGGGAAATCATATCTCTTAGTTTCCTTCCTTCCTATCCATATGTTTATTGCCTTCTCATTCCACAAAGGATCAACAATGGGCCGCTCTATGGCATCCATAAAAATGGCCTCTCAGCCTCACTCAGTCATTTCCAGAAGTCACTTTTTTTTAAGGGGTTCACTCTGTCACCCAGGCTGGTGTGCAGTGGTATGATCACAGCTCATTGTAGCCTTGAATTCCTGGGCTCAAGTGGTCCTCCTACCTCAGCTTCCCAAGTAATGGGGATAACAGGCACCCACTACCATGCCCAGCTAATTTTTTTCTTTTCTTTTTTTTGTAGTGATAAGGTCTCGCTTTGTTGCCCAGGCTGGTTTTGAACTCCTGGGCTCAAGGCATCCTCCTGCCCACAGTCACATACCACCATGGTCTGGCTAATTTTTCTATTTTTGTAGAGACAGGGTCTCACTTTGTTGCCCAGGCTGGTCTCTAACTCATGGGTTCAAATTATCCTCCTGCCTCTGCCTCCCAAGTAGCTAGGACTACAGGTTCACATCACCACACCCAACTCTATTCATAAAGGTCCATTCTTATAAACTTTACTTCTGGTTTAGCTAAGATCTCTTTGTAACTCTCATCCAAAGCCTCCTAAGAAACAGATCTATTCTACACTTTCAAATGACTACCTTTTCTGCTGTTCAAGCCAGGGACTATGTATTTCCTGAGTATTGTTTTTTTCTAAGACGAATTGGACTTTGAGTAGGGACAGATATGTGCCAAGGAAGTTGGCTGCATTTCGGGGAGTCAGAATTTTGCTCAAGGGATAATTTAGCTATTGGTTTTCTGTCTGGAGCAAGGTTGCAAAATCCCTTTAGGTGGTGAGAAAAGGAAGCTGAGATCCTGGGAGAATGTAGAGGACATTGTGGTTGTCTCCCTACATCCATTCTACTCCTCCCTACTGTGGAGTAATCATGCCCTTTGTGGGGGGCTCGAGTGTGGAGGGGTATCCAAATTCCAATTTCTGGGGTAGGCTCTGACTTGTCTAAGCTAAGCAGGTTAATTCCATCTCATTCACTACATGGGAGACTGATTCAGGAATAAGCAATTCAGACCAAGACCAAGTCAACTGGTGTACAGTTTTCTCCTGGCAACAGCAATTGATTTAGAGCTGGTATATGACTTAAGGTGGACCATTAGAGCGATACTTGAGACTTTGAATCCCAACGGTTAAAGCCTAAGGAAGCCCTGTCCTGTTTCTCTCCCTAGGTATGAAGAAGCAGAGTCCTGTTACAACTGCCAATCATCTTTCAACCACAAAAAGAAGCTAGACTGTAGACAAAGCCAACATACAAAGAGAGACTGAAGTTCTGATCAAACTGTACCTGCAGCCAACTTTACCTACTGACTTCCTCTTTGTTGTTTAAGATAGTTTGAATTTAGTTTTAATAATTGCAATCAAGAATATACTAATATGGAAAGATACAACAAGGAACTGTAAGAATGGGGAGATTGAAGGCACAACTTAAGTCTCACTGTACCTAGAGAAGATCCCTGTGGGAAGTAGAATGTGGGCCAAGGAGGCAGCAAGGAGACCGTTATCACTAGAAAACTGAAGCCCTGACAGCCCTGTGTTGAGCCTAAAGTAATCCCAATGCTTTTCCCTAAGGAATAGAAACTATTTGGCTGAGTGTTACTGATATTTCTTGATTTCTAATTATAAAGATGGCCATTATATCCCAAGGTGAAAGACTACAAGGAGGCCAGGTAAGCAGAAAGGCCACCTAAGATCAGAAGACAGGCAGGAAAACCAGGGAGTAAAGATAAATAGTGGCCGTGATAAGAACAGCAGAGATAAGAGGCAAAATGGGTGAATGAAGATGGCATACAAAGGAGCCATGATGAATAAGACAAGGGAACTGGTCAGATGACTGGCACATGTGCTCTCACTCACTCACCTGAAGAGATGCCACTCAGGCCCTCTCCATTCACAGCTCCCCAAAAAGTCGAGCACCACGGTGCTTCTTCTTGCTCCAGCTGGGAAATCAGAGCCGGTTTGGGAAATGGAAATGCTGCTTGAAGTGAAGGAAATGGGACAAGCAGGTGAGTAGAATGACACAGAACAATCCCAGGGCTCCTCCCAGGCCTGTATCTTCAGGGATAGGAGGGGAAAGAAGGGAAATAACTAAGGAGAACAAGAAAAGGAAGTCCAGGGAAAAGGACAGGAGACCCAGGGAAGAGGGGCCAGAAGACTTACAAAGGTCAGGAATTTGACAGAGTACTCAATAGCAGTCTGAGTCAGCAAATGGATGATTTCACTCATTGAGGAACCAAGTCCTCAATTCTTTCTTGTCCTCTCTCTCTTAGAGCTCTCAAGTTCAGACAGCTACATAAGGATGCTTGGTATTCAGCTGGGTCTCCCAGACAGAGGGGAGTGGGGACTTAAGTTTCAGTGAGGCACCATGAATCTGCTCTCTTCCCACCAGAGCACAGGGGTAAGGGATGGGCAGCTCTCACCCTGGAGCAAGGAAGTCTTGTGTAAAGCCCAAATTGATATCAGGACTTCCCACTTCTCGGCAACCTCTAAGAATCTAAGAGCCTGAAGCTGATGCTGAGCTGAAGATTATCAAAGACTCCTGAGCCTATGAGTAAAGAAGGCAGAAAACTCTGAAGGGAGGAGACAGAACCCAAAGGGGTGACCCTTACCCAGGGAAGCCACAGCCCCATAATTCTCCAGCATCACGTCCCTGTACAGGGCCCTCTGAGTAGGGCCCAGGCCGATCCATTCGTTCTCAGAGAAGTAGATGGCCACATCCTCGAAGGTAACTGACTCCTGAAACAACATGTATTTAAATGCCCTGGGATAACTCCTGGACACAGACCTGGAGTAATGGGTAGACAGGACACCAAGAGGTACTAGCGGGGATGTCTGCTGTGATTCTGGATTCTGAATGTCTAAGGAGGGACTCTCTCAACAGAAAGATTTTTGACCCCTACTTACAAAGTTACAAGGGATCAGTCATCAATTTTCTCATGTCTTCATCTTTATTTCAGCAAACATCCTCTCTTTTGCTTTGAGTCTCTGCAAAAGTTTCCTCTTTTCATCCTTATGCCCCAAAACCACCATCTGTGCTCTAGATTCCATCCTTTCTCCACAGTGTGTCCTCCTTCAGAGGTCACCAGCCCTTGATAACAATTATCATTTACTGAGCCTGTGCCAGGCACTATACATATATTACTTTGTTTATGTCTCATAGCTTACAAGAAGGGTATTAGATCCATTCTATGGAAGAAGACACCAAGGATCACAGAGATTAACTTCCCCCAAAGTTCCAGAAGTGAGACAGAATCCAGACCTGTTTGACTCCCTTGCTCCTATCTGTTATGCCATACTGCCTTCTGTCCCTGCTCCTGTGGCCCCTGTGTAGGACTTTTCCTCTTCTCTCCTTCCCAGTCACTGGGAACAGGGCAGATCCTAGCTGTAACTTTACTCCTTGCATTCCCCTACTCTAAAAAATCCCACTCCACTTTCTTCCCAAGTCCTAATCAATGCCCCCCCTCCTTAAATATCTCCAAGAGTCTCAGCTCCTGCATCTTCTTTCCTTTCTCATTCACCCTCTTCCTTAAGAAACAAACAGTGCTGGCCGGCCTTGGTGGCTCAACCTGTAATCCCAGCACTTTGGGAGGCCGAGGTGAGTGGATTGCCTGAACCCGCCAGTTCGAGACCCGCCCAGGCAACTTGGCGAGACCTCTTCTCTACAATAAAATCAAAAAACTAGCCGGGCGTGGTAGCACGCGCCTGTAGTTCCGGCTACTTGGAAGGCTGAAGCGGAGGGATCACCGGAGCCCAGCAGGTCGAGGCTGCGGTGGCCGGGAGCGTGCCACTGCACTCCAGTCTGGGCGACAGAGTGAGACTCCAACTCAAAAAAAAAAGAAAGAAACTGTGCTAACCTTCAGTCATCAAAACGTCCTGTAATTCTCAGTCGTTGCCTCATTCAAGATCTGTCTTCACACTACGGAGGAGCCACTTCTGGTCCATTTCACACCAGTCTTGGCCCTACGAAGTCCCCACAGCTAATTTATAAGGCACTCAAGGGCTCAAAGGCTTTGGCTGGCTCACCTTTGTCTACATAATAGAGTCCACATTCCTCTACACTGTAGACAATTCCATTCACTATTCAGAGACCCAGCCTACATGCCAAAGAATCGTCAGCGACCACCACTCGCATCCCCTATCCTCTCACCATTCCATCGGAAAACCAAACTCTTTCCTCGCCCAGATCTGTCCTTGCACTTAAAGCTCCCCTTTCCTGAACAGCCAGTTCTTCCCTCCTGCGCTTGCAAATTCCTGCTCATCTTAAGACTCAGCTCAAACAACCAGCGCTGGAAAACCAGGCTCTGAAATTCTGGCCATTCACTGCCACCCACGGCACTCGGCTCATGCCTGTGCCGCTGCACGTCTGCTGGCTCACGCCCCTGGGGTGTCCACTCTGCCCCCTGCCTGTCCATCCAGGCCCTCCGTTCCCCTGACACCCCATTTCCCGGCCGCCACACAGTCCCTCTCCGCCCCTTCTCTGGGCCTGAAGCCCAGGGCAGGGCCGATCCCGCTTCGAGGCGCCGGCCCTGCACTCACCGGGCGCGCCCGGGCGGGCACTGGCTGTCCCGGCAGCAGCTCGAGCGCA